AGGTAAAATACTCTCCATTCATTGGTCAGTATAACATGTAATATAAAGATGATTAATTTCCAGTCATCATATCAAATTTTTGCAATATTTGTATTTTTGCCAGGAACCAGGATGAACAATTGCAACTTTTGTTGTCTGCTGTTACACTTTATGTTACATATTTGCTCTATAACAAGCACATCTTTAATATATGTTGTTTACTGACTCATCAAAATATGACTTATTTTGACCATAGAAACACATCAGTAATATTATAAGTACATGAGCTACTAATAGAGCAAATACAGTAGTATAAATAAACATTGGAGGTAATATATATATAACTAAGCTGAGTCCAGCCATCTTTGATTTGATTGGAATACGTGCAGATATTCTTATAATGGCTTGAATACAACTAGACAAGTACCAATTTTGAAATTAAAATAATGGCTATCAGTCAGCCATTTTTGACTGGCTTGTGATATACTATAATGGCTTGTCCATGTGCCAAATTTCAGTCAAATCAATAACTACATGGCTTGAATACAACTAGACAAGTACCAATTCGGAAATTAAAATAATGGCTATCAGTCAGCCATTTTTGACTGGCTTGTGATATACTATAATGGCTTGTCCATGTGCCAAATTTCAGTCAAATCAATAACTACATGAATTGAATACAACTAGACAAGTACCAATTTTGAAATTAAAATAATGGATATCAGTCAGCCATTTTTGACTGGCTTGTGATATACTATAATGTCTTGTCCATGTACTAAGTTTGAATGTCTAAACTCCTCGAAAGAAAAATTATTACATAACAAAAAAAAGCATACGCTCATTAATAAAAGTCACAGCAATACATAAACAATAAATAAAATAAAATCAGAACTCAAGATATAATAAGGACAATTTAATAATAAAGACATCCTTTGATTGTTTATTAACCTCTTCTAGTAAGATTTTCCACTGTAAACTACATACTGTAAAATATTTTATTATAGTGGAATTAATTTTTGCTGAAAAGATTTTTGGGGTGTTTTGTATGGAATTTATTTTCACTGATTTTTGACGAGTTGAATGTTAAAAATAGGATTTGCTGGATTTTATTTTCACTGAATCATTCCTTCAGCAAAAATAGCGAAAATTAATTCCAAGCGAAAATAAAGTATTTTACAGTAGTGAACAGTATGTTATGAAGTGTTCTTCATCAAACATACCTCACATATTTTTTTTCCTTTGGGGTTTTCGGTCTAGTATGGGTTTCCTTTTCAATTTTCAATTGGTGGTTACTGAGGCAAAATCTAGTGCAATTGGTCGATGTGTGTCATACATACACATCTATTTAAAATAAACATTTTCATTTTTTCAGCGTTTTATCCATTGCTATTTTATGTATTAATGTATATGACATCTGTACAAGAATACTGTAAAATACTTAATTTTAGCTGGAATTCATTTTTGCTAAAAAGACTTTTTGGGTGTTTTATATAAAGTTTATTTTTAAAATATAAAAAAAAAGAAGTTATATTTGCTAAATTTTATTCTCACTGAATTATCTCTTTAGCAGAAATTGCAAAAATAAATTCCAAGCGAAAGAAAGTATTTTATGGTAATGCAGACTTGATTTCCACATAAACAATGTGTACAGCTGTGACCGTAATTACATTTTGTAATGACAGTCATAGTCTGCATGCAGATTTACAGCTTCACAACACTCACCCCTGTATCTATGTAGCAGATTTTGTGACAATTACTCACACAATGTCATTTGATAGCCTTGAGACCCAAAATGCAACCCTGGATATTTAAATCAAAACATTTTTAACTTGTTTACTATTCTAGTAAATTGCAATGATGCTACAAGACAAAAATAGACAGGAATGTTATTTCACTCACAGTAGCAGCTTTTAATAGTTGTATAGTCTATTTGTGATTTAAACTGGAAAACATCTAAAAAAATACTGTTAGTAATGTATATTAGAATAGCTAGCATATGATTTTTTTGTTTGGATTTTTCTGCAGTGTAGAATATTTTAAATCTACTTTCAAGTTTTCTAGTATAGTTTGAATTTTGAATAATTAATTAAAAATGTTAAAGGTTTCCAATGATCATAAAACTGACAGGTGATCTAAGAGGATTTGATATATTTTTGGTGTTTTTCTTGTACTAGTCTGAAGCCCATAATATCAGGGTATAGTTACACACCCATATCCATATGAAGGATTGTTTTTTTACCAGGATTTCATATCAAATTTTGTGGTGAAGCTTGTGTAAAGTGGAGAGAGTATGTCAACAAGCACTATCGCAAAGTTGTTCATGAAGCTTATAAAACGTTATTCCGCCATGAAATAACTTGTTACGTTGGTAATGAAGCTTACTATAGACATGATGCTATGGTTGAAATCACAGGTAATAGACCATTTTTTGTTCACTGTGGGATCCCGCGTTATGTGTGAAATTGAATGTAAAAACAGGACAAACAAAGGTGTAGCGTCGTATAGTGGCGCCAAACATAGTATTTTGGGGGATTCAACAAATGCGAAGTATTTTGGGGGATATCGCCACGCTTAATAATGTGCTGTACACATTTGATGGTGATCAATTTCAATGAAGTAAGAGTATCTTAACGCAATATTCCCCAGTCAAGGATCGGCCTTCAAATTTGAGCTACGAAAATAGAAATTCGAAATCAAATCGTACGATTTTTGCGGCAGACGTTCGGTTCGGTTCACATCTTTCATGCATTACGCGAGTTCTCGCAATTGAACAGAGAATCACCTATTGAATATGAATAGTATCAATATGATAATATAATCACGCATTCAAGACACTTTATATTATACCAGGTACATGATATTTTCAAAAATTAAAAAAATGAAGAAATTTAAACAAATATCCCCTAGACTTGCATATAGTCTCTTGTTTATTTTTTAGCGTTTTTTTCAATAAAATAAAAGAGTGTGTAAATGGCAAAAGCCGGTTTACCACAAAAGTTGTGTTACCATGAATTGTAGATGCCCTTTTGCAGCACCAGTAATGATTGTTATCTGTCTGGGTTCAGTGCGTGATGCAATGATTGACAGGGTCATTATTATTCTACCAAACTTTTGCTATATATACACTCCCATATTTTATTTTATTGAATAAACAACAAAAAATAAACAAGAGACTGTATGCAAGTCTAAACGAATCCCTGAAAATAGTGTGAAATAATGGAATGAACATGAAAAAACATGTTCATTTCTTGCATGTGCCTTCAGCGACATAGTTTAGATTTCTCACCAGTGACATTGACATAACTAGATATACTGCTAGAATTATATTTGCAAAATATGCTGATGACATTTGAGGGAAAAAATCTATTGTCCACTTTATTATTTTATTTTTTATTTGCACTTGTTATTGCTCAACTTTTTGCAATGTCCTACGATGACTGTATGAATATTTATAGCAACTCAAATTTTGCAAGGAACAAATTTTTTTCTTTGGTCAGCTTTCTTTTCCCTAACACTGGTCTCTTGCATGTTTGAGCCATTTTCATTTTTTTTTCATTTTCCAAAAAAACACAATATAGAGAATGCATTTAATCATTCTGCATGTGTAATTCTTTTGTTCAATTTTAAGATCGTTATCCTATGACTCTTTGTAAAGTTAGGGCACATTTTCATGTTTTAGGTGTCTGTTTTTATAACAAAATGCTAATTCCTAAGATCAGCATTCATACTCATTACAGAATGATGTTTGAAAGAGTTGTTTATAAATAATTTGTTATTAAATTAATTTTGATGATTTTTTTACATCGGTAAGTATTTAACCAGATTTTATTAAAAAAATTGTGTGTTAGAGATTTTGTACTATTAAATTGATAAGTATATGACCATAGAAATAATAGTATAAATGATTTACTGTTTAATAGTCATTCAGATTTCATGATTCTGTGTTTTCTGGTCAATTGCATGTTTACATCAATGTGTCTGACTTATAATCTGACAGCATGTTATATGGTTTATATCGGGTGTCTGGGTTCTGTCACATCTCTCTCTATCAGTGTTAAAGATACGTTTCTGGTAAGTACACATTTCTGCATATATATATCATTGGAGAAAGCTTATAATTTAGACAAATCAATTCAGATTCTTGTTGCAAAACCTGTTATAAACAATTCCGACTTCGTATTTTCTCTATTAGGAACACATCTTGAATAGACGTGCACATAAAAATTATTCTATGTTCAATTATTTTGATCATAGACCGTCTGTCATTAACGTAAAAACATGTACTTCAAAATTTAACAAATTACTCTAGCTTGCCAAATTAAAGTAAATGAATTATTCAAAAATCATAATGCTCTAATAACCCTTTGTGTGCAATGTCAACTTTTATCACCATCTATTAAACTGATGAAATGTTGATAAAAATTGACAATTTTTTTTATTAAAAACTAATGGCAATATCTGAAACTGTCTGTATGGACCAAATTGATGATGAAATTTACTGAAACTTTTACAAAATTTGAAAATATTTGCATAGAATTTTGGTCTCAAAGTATTAACTTGATTATTATGCCTAGAATAGGCTAGAACACAGTCCCTCCATAGAAGGACTGTGGCAAGAATTAACCCATTGAGATCAACATTAAATTGTTGTCATGTTGTCATAGATCAACATTAAATTGTTGTCATGTTGTCATAGATCAACATTAAATTGTTGTCATTTTCATAAATAACAAAGTTTGATCAACACCTGTAGCAATAGAAAACTATGTTCATTGGATCCGGAATAAACAAAGCTTTTACAGAAAATACAGAAAATTTTGCAAAATGTCCCCCAAACATTTAATAGGCGTCAAAAGGCATTCATAGAATTGAGTCATCTCATAAACAAAACTAGATTAATTGTTTTCATTAATATTAATTGATACATTGCTTTGTATAGGTACACAGAAACCAATGGTAAAAGGCAGTGGTCTCACCTTACTATCACCAGGTCAATATCGGTATCCATTTCAATTCAAACTACCAGCTAAAAACTTGCCAGCCTCGTATGAAGGAAAGTACGGATATGTGCGATATTATATTGAAGCTAGGATTGACAGAACATGGAAAAGTGAACATTTCATTATTCAAGGATTCTCAATACAAGGATCACCAGTAAATCTGAATAAAAAAGCTGATATTAGGGTAAAATTCAAATTCAGTCTTATCAATTTTGACAATAGTTCAACTCATTCAAAATATTTCATCAGAATACAGTGGAAAAGTGAACTTGTTTGTGTAAGGGGTTTTTGGAAAACACAGACTACCTCAGACACAAACTGCAAATAAGTTTGAGAGCACACTAACTCTCACTAACCATGTCAGACAAACTCTTATAAAGTATCCTTATATGCCATAACATTGTTATGTAAAAAAAAAACCCACCACCTTAAACACATTGTAAAACAACACTCTCTTACATATCTTTATGTGAAAAAACACCATCTTATACACCATTATTTAAAACAACACTCTCTTATATACGTTTATGTGAAAGAACATTCCCATATATTCCTTTATGTGAAAAAACACCATCTTATACACCATTATTTAAAACAACACTCTCTTATATACCTTTATGTGAAAGAATACCACCTTTTACATCATTATGTCATCAATCATTCTCTACTGTAGACTCCCATATTAGTTGGCAAAGAAGTTGAAGTGGCCCAGGGATGTATATCATTATCTCACATTCAGGTGAAAGTTGAAACAAATCGCAGTGGATATGTACCTGGAGAAACTCTTCAGTTCACAGCATATGTCAATAATAAGAGTAGACATAGAATCAAGAAATTCAGAGCAGTATTTGTTCAGGTCAGAGTTCATGATATGTTTGTTTGTTATTTATTTATTTATTTATTTATTTATTTATTTATTTATTTATTTATTTATTTATTTATTTATTTATTTATCACAACAGTGGCTATGATGTCATACTTAACCCATAATCATTTTGCACTTTAATATCACAATATTAAATGTGTGTGGAATTATGTGGCTGAGGTCATTAGCACATGAAGTCACGATGGCTTTCATGAATTTATTTTAAATCAATTGCAAAAATTGATAGCATTGAAAATATACTAATCTACAGTATCTTCTAAGAATGTAATATTTTTAGCTCCACTGTAGAGCGGAGTTTATCATATAAGTGATTGTCCGTCGTCGTCTGTGTCAATGTTTTACTTTTTCGACTTCTTCTTGAAAACTACAAGCCTGAATGCTTTGATACTTGGTGTATATGTACCTTGGGCAGACCTCTCTTAGATTTGTTCATTTCATGATGATATCTTCAATTCTCTAATTTTGGTGAATATTTCTGTCATTTTTGGTAAAAAGTGATATTTTCCACTTCTTGTTGAAAACCGCAAGTCTGATTGCTTTGATACTTTACATATTGTTCATTTTCTAATGATATCTTCAGTTCTTTATTGAAATGTGCATTGCTAACAGCGGAGCTATCTCAGCCGACAGGCTGCTTGTATTACGGTAAACAGTTCTGGCTGAAATGATTGAGAACTAACTACAGTTTCACATTTCAAATCTATATACAGTTCACATCCTACTATGGACACAGACGGGATTCTAGTAAGAAGATATGTCTTCGAGAACAGACCTCTGAATTAATAGTAATAAAAGGAAAAGGATTCAAAGCTGAAGTCACCAAACAAATAGAGGGTGAATTTGAGATACCGCCACTGCCAGCCACAGGATCTCATACATTCCCATACATCAATATTGAATATTATTTGCAAGTAAGTCTTTTTGTAGGGTTTTCATTCTTATTCATTAAGTATCAAAAAAGAAAGGAAAAAAAAAACACCAATTAATTGAGGGCGCACTTCCATGATGTCAAAACTCGGGTTCTCTTTTTTATTGACAGCATATTCACATTGAGACTGACACTGTGCAAGGATTATAGGAAAAAGATCTTTGTTGTTTGACAATCTGAAATACAGGACCATTTGAAAGTAAAATCCAATTCATATTATGTTCCTACAAATTTTCTGGTTTACATGTATATGTTTACAAATAAACATATGGGCAAACAGCATCAGACTCCACTAACGCCTGACAAAATAGTGTACTTCTTGTTGGCAAGATCAATACTGTGAATTTGCAAAGTTCACGCCTTCTGGCATTTTGGTGGTCATGGTAACACCATCAATCAAAGCCGTGTTTGCATTGTCGGCAAAAATCACAGACAGACTGTCAACAAAATGATAAACATTGGGCAGAAATTTGCCAGCACCTTAACACACATTATGTCCACAAACAAGTAAACTCTGCCGTAAATGGTTACTCTTGGATGGCTGTCGGGGCAAGTGAAAAACTACGTTGTTCTGTCAGGCGTGTGTTGGGTTTAAAGCACAGCAGAGGGCGCAACTCAAGCGACCTTGTCAGGCTACAAACAAACAAGAGTAAACATTTCTAAATTAAAACATTAACATTTCACATATTAATATTTGTTCTAGTTTACAGTGAAAGTAGCCAACTTTGACAAGACTGTGATTGATGTAATTGTACCTGTGTTGATTGGTAATATTCCATCTAGTCAAGTGTACACATGGAAAGAACCGCAATCTAATTTGGTGTCTTTATATCAACCACTGCTAACATTTGACTCTGGTGAGTATGTGTACAGTAACTTTCTTCATTATAAATAATTGTTACATACAAACATGATACAAACATTTGTGCAGTACTAAATGTATGTTCTATCCACAGTCATGTCTCTCTCCTGCAGAAATAGACTCAAGATTACTGTGGGATACTTTATTTTCACTTGGAATAAATTTTCACATAGAAATGATTCAGTGAAAATAAAATCCAGCGAATATACCATTTTTCCTATATTTTACATTCAACTTGTCAAGAATCAGTGAAAATAAATTCCATACAAAACATCAAAAAAGTCTTTTCAGCGAAAATTAATTCCAGCTAAAATAAAGTATTTCACAGTATATTTAACAATAAGTTTCTGCTCAGATTAATGTTAAAACTACTGTAAATGCATTAATGTTTTGCTATGTTTTAAATTTTGCTGTTGTGATATCCATTAAATTAAATCCATGTGAACATGTAAAAAAACCAATATAACTCATTGTTTTGATGATAATTCATGAACTTAAAACCTAGTATATAGACTCAAACTTCCAAAATTGTGAAATTAAATGCTAGTGAAAAAGAAAATAGTTTTACAGTATTGGGGTCACTGTTCATCCATATATCTATCCAATATAACATTTCTCAAGTTTGAACAAACAAAAGAATTAATTGTATACATAATTCATCCTGCTTCGTTCTGATATTTTTGTTTTGTTATATCTCGTCATAAGTTGATTTGATTGTTCAATACTGATTTGTGGAAGTGTTATTGACCGCTTGAATACTGTATTTACTTTCCCACAAAGATATGTATGCATCATTTGAGTATCACACTGAGCAATGGTGTTACAGCACCTCATCGCAAAAGTACTGGTATTTTACAGTATATTGTCTGCTTTCGGCAAATAACTGTAAATCTTGATATTGATCTCAGCCTGGACAAACTTACAACCATTTTTGCCTCTAAATAATCGTAACATTCTAAGTAACCTAGTTATCTTTCATTTATTTTGTGGGCCCATTCCCACATTAGTCTGGACATGTTGCCTACATTTTGTTGATTGCTTGATAAATAGAGCATGATGCTAATCTGAATATGTTAATTTTCCAAGAACAATAGATGACAGTGTATGTTTTCCCCACGTGCTGTATCAGATGATAATTACTACAGTGTTATCCCACAATTCTGGTGACGTTAAATAAATTTACATGGTTACTGTGCGAAATCTAGGAAATATGTCCTGACTATTATGGATAGGAAATAAAGAGGAAGGTAACCAAGCTACAATCAGGGAGAAAAATCTTTGTATTATTATCAGTTAATGGTTACAGTGAGCGATGGTACAGTGGATAGCCTTGCATCAGAGAGGTTGTGGGTTTGATTCTTAGAGCCGACTTTTTACTAAGCAGTGAAAATCAGTCTGTACATTATGCCCTGCCTTTCAACCATGTAGCATTCAGTTTGGGAAACCTGTTGCATGTGTACTTGCAATTAGCATAAAAAACCAACAAAGAATGTCAGGAGAGAAAAAAGTGACTTCAATATCTGGAATGTCACAAAAAATATTCAAAGAAATATTTTTTTTATGTGATTATGTACAAAATAAATGATATTGATTTTTTTTGTCAACAGGAGACGCCACTGAAGCGTCACCAATGGGAGTTCCACAACCAATAGAGAAAGAATGTATACCACCAATTCGTGTCAGAAAACCAGATGACGATGATGATATCAAGGAAGTCATTGTGGATTTAAAAGGTCGATACAAACCTAAATATAGATGTTATATTGAAAAATGTGATGTTAAACCAAAGATGAAAGTATTTCAAGTTGGGGAAGATTCTGTTCGTTTCTTTTTTATGAAATACATGCCTTACAAGGTAGCTAAAGTGGCTGTACATAATGCTATTGAGAAATCAAAATAATATATAAAATATTTCTCTGTTAGTCTCCATTATTCATAATTGGACACTTTATAATTTACTAGGTAGGCTTCATGGCTTGTTTTTCTTGAATTGTTCATTCAACAGTACCTTCGATTTTTTAGTGAATATATCTTTGTAGAATTACCAGTGATGTTCATTGTAACAGCTCCCTCTAGTGGTCAATTGTGAAAATCTGAATAATATAAAACATGTCTGTTTATGTTGAATTAAAATTTTATACTACCCAGCACATTTCTGTAGATATGTGCAATGCATGATGGGAGAGAACTTCCTATTGTACATAATGGAAAACTGAAAACTCAATAAATTGACTTAATTTTAGGAAATATTTTAACAAGGATTCATATCAATAATATGACTTATCAATGGAAAACAGTGACCATTTTCCACCACTTTTGTGATCCAATTTTTTGTTGTTTGTAATCCTAAGATGACATACAGTAAATTCAGTCTGAATCTCCTCAAATAAAACCGTTGTTCATAATTGTCTTCTAGTACCCGGTAACTTGGTTTCCATTATCTGCTGCCAGCGTTGACTACATAATCTTTAAAGCTTACACTTTACATTAATCAATGACAATATAACTGCTTTCATCAGCAATTTCTGATTACAACTGTCTGCCCATCAGTCTGTCAAAAATATACACAGTAGTTTGACCAAACACTTCTGTTTATTTCCTGAATATTGTCAAATTAATTTAAACATTATACATTTCTAAAAATTTATAATTATTGAAATAAGTCACAAAAAGCATGATAATAGTGCAGTAAGGAGTGTGGCATGGCACTGCTCAGTGTTCAACATGCATAGGAATGTGCCCATTAGTTAATAGAATGACAGTGGCCATAAGAAATATACAAGACCAGATACAGTTTGATCAGCGCTACAAAGGTGAATATCTAGTGTTGTATTGTTACAAGATAATTACACAGATTATTTACTACATTGTATTAAATAATAAATTCAACTTCATATTACAATTTCTTGTCTGAAACATTTTCTATTTTAGCACCAAACACAGAAATTGAATTTGCTGCATTTTAAGCGACTCTGGATTAAAATGCCTAAGTGTAATGTAGGATGCCTTAACATCTAGCTATCTGAAAGATGATGTAAACACTAGAGTAAATAAAAGGATAAAATGAACATTCTTTCTTCAACATACCTGTGCTATGATTATATATACAATGCTATAATTAAGTTCTGCAGTTTATTATGGGAGCATGAATTCATTACGTACTTCACTCAGTCACAGTAAACTGAATACTATCGTTGTTTCTTGTAGCCAAAATCTTCTGATAAACGAATGAAAACAGCTTTGGTGACTTTCAAAATGATAAAATGTAAAGTATATTGAATTATCAAGGCACCAAGACCTTTATAGAAGCCCAGTCTTCCTTCAGTTGCTTTAATATTATGAAAGCAATCGTGTAACCCTTCATAACGGGTATCTAAGGGTACAACTTCTGTACCAAAGTCCATGTTGTCTATTATGGTTCTTGTTCCTTGTATGTGTAGTCTATACACTACAGTTTCCAGTGGGTACACGGCGACATCCGCTATAAGGTGACCCATAAAACTAGCAAACAATTCTGGGTAATAAGCTTCAACCATTGTTTTTGGCGGGGGTGGTTCGTTCGCCGGAAGATGGGATGTCCTGTGTTTGTATGCATAGTTCATTATTGCCGAGACCAGTTGTTGTACTAATGATGATATTATATAGTGCAGTAATCCATGCAACACGGTAGGTATGACTAACGTCCACATTGGTAGAAGTCTTCTTGTTTGTGGCATGCCCCATCCCAGCATTCTAGAGAATCCTTCCTTTACACAGTCCAACACGCCAGGTTTCTCACTAGCAATATCACTCTGTGCAAAGATATAACAAATAAGTCACATGACCCATCTCATGAATCAATAAAGAGACATTCTATCAAAAACTATATAATTAATATGCATGGTTTTAAGCTAAAACAAATCAGGTCTTTGCATTGTTTCAGAGCACCTACCAAGTTTCATTGAAATACAATGATTGGTTCTTGTGATAATGGTGGAACCTTCATATTTCATTTTTAAATATCTGTTGACATATCCCTCAAACTAAGGAATTATTGTAATATTTTTATTCACAAATAAACCTCCATATAAAGACCACCTGTTTATAAAGGAAAATTTCTTAAAGTACACAGGTTTTATTACCACGGGTGGTCATTGTACACAGGTTTGACTGTAATAACAGTTATTTGTAATAAAAAGAACAATGCAGTATTCTTTAGTCTTTTCAGCAAGGCAGTTAATCCAATAGACATTTTAAAAAAAAAAGAGTATTTTCTCACCTGCACAGATTCAATAAGACTAGCAGAGAAGAATGGCATGGACACAAGTAATGTAAGTGATTTCAATGCTAGATGTCCTACAAGTTGTTTAGGTTTACTGTGTTTAGTTACTTCCTGGGGGAACCATGTGACTTCACTGATGAAGGACTCACTACACATAGATATTCCTTGCACTACAAATTTACTACCAATGCCCTTCCATAAACTAGATGCACCCTGCAAATCAAATAAGGAAGAGTAATTAAAAGTACCCCCGATATAATCACAATATCATGACAAATTATTGAATATTGTAAGTCATTATATTGTTGAGAGCTTCACAATGATTTAAATGTTGAAATACAAAATTAGATAATCTACCTTCACTATTCCAATATGACATGATATAGAGAATACGCAATATACGGTCAACTTTTTAAATTTCACTTCTGGGCACTTTCATGATTCAATGATTTTATGGCATTTTTAAGGACAAAATGTTGAGAAAATCACAGATACTCCATGTCGTAGGACCCAAGAGAAATTCTCACTGCTATAATATTGTCACTGGCAAACTGACAACATCCACGAAATTTTACCTCACGAAATTAGAATGGTTTAAAGCATGTGGTGATCTGGAATTATATGACCGGAATCATTTACTGTTTGTACAATGTATACAATTTGTACAGTACCTGAAATGTATGCAAAATGCAACCAGTTACACAGAACAACAGAAATGCTATTGTTGGCAGGCTATATTAAGGAAATTTAAACAGATTTGAAAATATGCAAAAACTTACTTGGGCTCTCTGTAACTTGATCATGATTTGGAAAACTGAGAATGGTGTTAGATGATATCGAGCACTTTTGGGATTTACCTAAAATAATATAGAAAACACATTTTACAACGCTGATTTAAAAAGAGATACACGATTTATGATATACATGAATGTACAAAATTATACGTCAAATTGTAGGTATTAGAAATATCACAAGAAAGTGTAGATTTACTAAGAGTTAACAAGTAAGAAGATGCTAAACCATTTCACTAAAAATGGTTTAATGGGTAAGTATTCGAATAACCTGTTGGTCAGCTATGTTATACTACAAATATACCTAGTAGTTATAATCAATTTCACCAGTTTTTGGTACATTTTACAAGCCTCTGACCAAAAACTATTGGTTTAAATGTATATCATTAAACCCATATCTTCAAGTATTTCAGATCTATGCCACAAAAAAATTGAAAGATTTAGCAATCTGTTGTACTGCCAGTGTACTGCACTGAATGTAGGTTAATTTACATGAATACTTGTGGAACTCGGTCTCCTCGCAAACGTAGACATTGAACTACCGGTAAAGTTGACTAAAGCTGCACAGCCTTAGTTGAAGCACAAAGTCTAATTTACAATGTCGGTTTACAAAATATGTCACAGTTATGTAGCTATGAAAATGTCGGTTTACAAAATATGTCACAGTCATGTAGCTATGACAATGCCAGTTTACAAAAGATGTCACAGTTATATAGCTAAGACAATGTCGGTTTACAAAATACGTCACAGTTATGTAGCTATGAAAATGTCGGTTTACAAAATATGTCACAGTTATGTAGCTATGACAATGCCAGTTAACAAAATATGTCACAGTTATGTAGCTAAGACAATGTTGGTTTACAAAATATGTCACAGTTATGTAGCTAAGACAATGTCGGTTTACAAAATATGTCACAGTTATGTAGCTATGAAAATGTCGGTTTACAAAATATGTCACAGTTATGTAGCTATGACAATGCCAGTTAACAAAATATGTCACAGTTATGTAGCTATGACAATGCCAGTTTACAAAATATGTCACAGTTATGTAGCTATAACAATGCCAGTTTACAAAATATGTCACAGTTATGTAGCTATAACAATGCCAGTTTACAAAATATGTCAATGTTATTAAGCTAAGACAATGCCAGTTACCAAAATATGTCACAGTTATGTAGCTAAGACAATGCCAGTTAACAAAATATGTCACAGTTATGTAGCTAAGACAATGCCAGTTAACAAATATGTCACAGATATGTAGCTATGACAATGCCAGTTT